GTTAGCAATCTATTACAGGGACAGTTCAATCATTGGTCATGGGCACAGCACACCTGACTTGGGGAAATTAATTGAATTTATTATCCAAAAGTGTCAGAACAAGAAAACGAGAAGGAAAGTAATTCCTACGGAAATCCATCTTCCCCCCAGCTGTCCCTCCTTCCCGGGCTTAACTTTCTGCCCCTCTCCGTCCCCCTCCCCGCCCAGAGGCACAGGGATGGGGGTCACAGTCAGGTCATGTCACTGCCTCCCCCTGAGGGCCAGGAATCCTTGTCCTGCTGCAGCCTGGGGTCCCTCGCAGGGGCCAGAGTCCCTCAGGACCAGGCTGCTCCAGCGGGGATGGCCAGGGGGATCCCCGAGTCCGGCCAGGAGCCACTTGCATGGCTGTGCAGGGGCTTCTGCCGGGCTCGGGGCCTCTCTCAGGCACCCCCTGCTCCGGCCCGGCCTCACTGCCCCCCTCACCCCCCCATGCAGCGAGTGCCCGGGCAGGGAGATGGACGATTTTCCCGGGGCTGAATCTTGGAGTTTCTGAGCTTTATTGGGCTGAATGTTGGTGCTTTGTTTATTTTGTGGGGGCTGAATCTTTCTATGTTGGGGGGATATCGGATTTTTGGTGTTTTGGAAGTTTTTGATCTGTCTTTGTTAGCGTTCAAGAACACACATAATCACAGACTGATTATATGCAGGTGCTTTATTGAAGTGTGCAGGAACTGGGGGTATCAGCAACCCAAATCTAGCTCCGCTGTCTTTGTCCAAAGTGTGCATATTTCTACAATTTGAGCTGTAGCAGTAATCACTATAACAACCTTATCAATATTGCTTCATTAATAAATCTTAATTAACTTTACCAATATTGCTTCTTGAGAGTTAGCTCATCCTTGTACGAACGTGTACGAATCTTATCTCTGGGTGGGTATCTTGGAGACCCCAAGTACCAGTTCCCATTACCGTAAACATTCCAGCTTGCTAGACCATCCCTAATACCGAGCATTGTTGTGGCCTACCTCTACATGATTTTAAAAAACATTTTCAGAAACATTTAACCCCATTGTAACATTTTTCCCCACTTTGAAAATATTTCACTTTACTATAATAAGTGTAATGCTTTCACTATATACAGTCCTTTCTCTAAGTTTATACTTGATGTTCATCTTGGAATCCAAGTTGTTGTAAGCGTTGTTACACTCTGGAGGACTCGGAGATGACAAATGTGGATGTGGATCTCTGTCCCATGTCAGCGCCTTTATTATCTTCTGGTTCCAGGTTCCTCTTTTCTTTATCTCTCCTTTCAGAACTGCACAGATTAACCAGACTGCTAAGAACACAATTAGTAGGATTAGTAGGATTATCTCTCAAGAATAGATTTGATCCTAACCCTTCAAAAATTTTATCTACCCAGCTTGTGGTCAGATCTTCCCTCTCTTTTTGTGCTTCATGTTCTATTGGTTTTAATGGATTAATGTTGTGTTCTACATCTGCAGTTCCATTTGGGATGTGGATGCAGCAGTGATCAATTTGTCCTTTTAGGTACCTGCATACTCCGTGTTCTTTCAACAATAACATATCTAAAGCCAATGTTTTGCAGGGTCATTTTAGTTGTGGCTTGTAATTGTACATTTAGCTCTCTAAATCCCTCTTTGGTAACTCTTGCCAATCTTTCTACCTGGCCTGTAAGTTTGTACATCTTTCTATTATTATAATTTGCTATTGGACCAAACAAGGATTCCAGAGCCCACTCAAATTTTACACTACTGGAGGGTTGCTGCCATCTTTCTTCATCTTCAGCTGTGTTTTCCTGAACTTCTTGTCTTGTCCTTATTTGCAGAAGTTCATGTTCCCCCTTGAATGGGGACCTTTTCTAAATTTGGCATAAGGTGGGGAGGCCTAAAGTAATCTCTTTTACTTTTTCACCTACAGGCAGATGTGTTGTCCAGGTGCCATCGCTTGCTGCCCATCCAAATTGGCCTAGACTCTGAATTGTTCTTCTGCTACATATTACCTTTTGGATCACTTGTCCTATCTTGTCATTTATTTCCCCTTGTTTATGTTTGATTCCTCTGCAGGCACATCCAATTTGCAGAGCTACCACTAGTGGTGGCATTTGTTTTATTTCTTCATCATCAGAAGTACAGTCCTAAGCTTTGTTCCATACCCACCAATTCACTTTGTCTGCCTCCATTCTACTACTGGTTGCAGTGTTCCATACCCCTGGATCTGTTTCATTTTCAGAGCCTTCCCACTTAATGCACCAAGGGCTATCTGCCATAGATTGGAATTTCTGAAGCACACTCATTGCCCATGCACTGTCCCAAGCTTCAACCTGATCTTTTCCTTCCTGTCCTTCACACTTTCGCTTCGATACTGGAATCTTTTCTTTAATGACCTTTGCTATCTTTTCAGAACACCATCCATAATTCCCTAATCCCCCATACCAGCCTAGTTTTGGTTCATACTTTCCTCCATTTTCATGACAATCCCATGTAGATGAATACTTTGGCTTCACAGCATTTTCAAACACTGTCTTATTTGGGTACTCGTGATGTATTTGCAATACACAGCTCACATTTTCATTTTTCTTCTTTTGTATTTCAGGGAGTTTTGATGTTATAATTCTTCAATTTATTTGGTCTCCTGCTGCCTTTGGTATTGGCAGGCAGGCAGTTATTTTGCTGGTGTTTTGCATGTTGGCCAAATCTTGAATTAATCTAATAATCCCATTTTCTGCCTGAATAGTATTAGAGACTTTTATCACTTGTGTTTCTGGCTGCACCCCCACATCCCTCTTCATTATAAAATGAAGAGTTGTCAGCTGATCCTTTTGCATTTCACATCCCAAGGTAACATTGATTCCTACTGATGGCACTAAAGGCCATGAAATAATCACCATTACAGTCACTAGCAACCTAGACATTTGAAACAATCAAACCCGCTTTATCTGCAGCTTTGTTGGCCCTACAGTTTGTGCAGTCCACAGTGCAGGGGAAACCTTCACTCTGGTGTAATGTATGCAGGGATCCAGTCCAGCTCCTTTGACTGCTGTCAAGGTAGTTAACAGTACCTGATAGGGTCCATTCCACCTTTCTTTTAATGGTTCTTCCTTCCAGCTTTTACCGTACACTTCATCTCCCGGGGGGATGTCATGAACTGGATTCTCAAGAGTCAGCGGCCTGTTCCACACAAGGGTGCTCCGAAGTCGAGCTCGAGCTTTTCCAAGAGACAGAACATAATTCTACACCTCTTGCTTCCCTGTAACAAGTACATTTGGATTAGGTTCAGGGGATTCATATGGTTTCCCATCCAATATCTCATAAGGACTGACTGACATCCCGCTTCTAGGCTTTATCCGAATCCTCAGCAGTGCTATTGGTAAAGCTTGTGGCTGCTGCAATTTAGCCTCTTGGCATCTTTTGCTGATTTGCCTCTTCAGTGTCTGATTCATCCTCTCTACCTGTCCACTGGATTGGGGTCTCCATGGTGTATGGAGATGCCAAGCTATTCCCAGTAACCTACTCACCTCCCTCACTACTGTGGCTGTGAAATGTGGGCCCCTATCTGATGATATTCCTAGAGGCACCCCAAATCTTGGAATGATTTCTTGCAGTAACCACTTGACTGTCTCCTTTGCTTGATTTGTGTGACAGGGAAGAGCTTCTGGCCATCCTGAAAATGTGTCAACCCCTACCAATAGATATTTGTATCCTTGAGTTCTTGGTAATTCTACAAAATCTACTTGCCAATAATCTCCTGGTTCTACTCCTATCCAAATTCTTCCTAATTGTGCCTGTCATCTAGCCACTGGATTGTTCTTTAAGCAAATTTCACATTTTGACATTACTGATTTTGCCATTGTTAACATCTGTACTGAAGTTAAATTTTGTTTTAACAATTTCACCAATGCCTTTGCACCCCAATGACATTTGTTATGTTTAATTTGCAGAACTTCTCTCATTATCAAAGGGGATACCACTACTTGTCCCTGTGTAGTCACATACCACTCTTCTGAATTCTTTTGTGCATTCAGTGAGCGTCCAAATTTCTCATCTTTTATTGAATAGTTTATATTTTGGTTCTGGGCGTAAACTGAATTGAGATACATTTAAAAACGAATGTATCAATGCCATTGCAGTTTGCACTTCTTGAGCAGCTTGTCGGGCTGTCCAGTCTGCTTTCCGATTTCCCTCATGAAATTTGGAGCTTCCTGATTGGTGAGTGTTACAGTGCACGATTGCTGCTTGCTCAGGCTTTTGTACTGCTTTTATTAATTGCAGGACTGCATCTTGATGTTTAATGTGTGTGCATTGAGAAGACAGCAGTCCTCTTTCTTTCCCCAGTGCCCCATGTACATGCACCACTCCAAAAGCATGTTTTGAATCAGTCCAGATATTTACTTTGTTCCCTTCACTCATCTCTAATGCCCTGGTTAAAGCAACCAGTTCTGCTTGTTGGGCAGATGTGTTTGCTGGTAAGGAACAAAGCTGAATTCAAAAGGTTAGTTGTCTTTAGTGGGACATCATCCTGCTAGGTTAGGATTACCTGGAATTTCGTCATTCTGCTTGGAGATAGCCAATGGCTCCCCTTTTGTTGTAAAACAGTGGTCACCGTGTGTGGCACATAGACATCTATGTGTCTACCCATCGTGAGTTTCCTGGCTTCTTGGATCAGCATCACAGTGGCTGCAACTGCCCGCAGGCATGAAGGCCATCCAGCACTCACCACGTTGTCAAGTTGTTTGGAAAAGCAGCCTACCGGCCTGTTCCAGCTTCCCAAATGTTGGGTCAGCCCTCCCAGTGCTGGGTGTGATCTTTTGTGCACAAACAGCTGAAAATCTTTGGATAGATCAGGCAATCCTAACACCTGACGTGTTGTCAATGCCTCCTTCAGTTTGAGGAAGGCTTCCTTCTGTGGTTTGCCCCAGGTAAGCGGTTGTGTCTTCTGGGCTTCGTAGAGGGGCTCTGCAATTAGTCCATAGTCCATGATCCATAGGCACCATCCATCCGTCATCCGGCCATCCCGAGGAAAACTCACAGCTCATGCAGGTTCTGGGGTTCTGGAATAGCACAAAGAGCTTGAATACGGTTAGTACCCAGCTTACGTTGCCATTGTGAGATTTCACACCCCAGGTAAGTCACAGTCTGTTGGGCAATTTGTGCCTTTCCTTTAGACACCTTATATCCTCCCATTCCTAGTTGATTTAAAATTTCAATTGTTGCCTTTATGCAGGTTGTTTTCTGTAGCTGTCAGTATATCACCAACATACTGTAACAGCAGGTATTGTTCTCTTGGTACTTGCCCGTTTTTGGTCCAAATCTCCAGCTCCTTCGCCAGCTGGCTTCCAAATAGGGTTGGACTGTTCTTGTATTCTTGTGGGAGTCGTCTCCAGGTGAGCTGGATTTTCCTTCCATTGTCTGGATTTTCCCATTCAAAGGCAAATAGTTTCCTACTTTTTTTGTCAAGGCGTATGCAGAAAAAGGCATCTTTTAAATTAATTACAGTAAACCATTTCTATTTCTCTTTTATGGATGTTAACAATGTGTAGGGATTAGCTACCACTGGGTAAATATCTTTAGTTATTCCATTTATTGTTCTCAAATCCTGTACTGGTCTGTGCTCACCGTTTGGTTTCTTCCCTGGAAATATTGGTGTATTAAATTCTGATTCACGTTCTTCTAAAAGTTGGTACTTCAAAAATTATTCAATAATCTTTACTATTCCTTGCTGTGTTTCTGGCTTTATGGGATACTGTTTAACCTAGACAGCTTTTGTCCCTTCTTTGCATTCTACGTGTCCCGGTTGTGCCAACTTAGATTTTCCTGGTATGTCTGTTTCCCATACAGAGGGAATTACTGCATCCTCTACTTCCCGAGGGATAGCAGGGACTGGTTTTTCTTTTATCATTAAGATTTGTCCTGTCTTTGATTCAGGTATTTTCATTAAAAGCTCCCCGTTTTCAAAAGTTATCACTGCATCAAGTTTTTCTGATAAATCTCATCCTGAAAGTGGAATTGGACACTCAGGCATATCTAAAATTCATGTGTTAACACTTTGTTTCCGAAGCACAAATCCAGGGGTTGCAGGAATGGTCGATTCTCCTCTGTCCCTGTGGCTCCAACTATTGTTGCTGTTTTGTCTGCAGTTTGTCTTTTTAGATCATTTAGCACAGAATATGTAGCCCCCGTATCCACCAGGAATTTTACTTCTTTATCTCCCAATTGTATAGTTACTAAAGGTTCTTGTGTTGGTTTTTGTTCTGATTCTAGTCAGCTGCTGTACTCCCCCAGCACCATTAATTTGGAAGCATCTTGATTCTGATTGAACTGATTGCCCTGGTTAAACCAATTTGAGCATTCATTTTTCCAGTGCCCCTCTTGTCTACAAGAAGCACATTGATTTAACCCCAATCTTGGCAAAACCCATCCCCCTCGTCCTCTGCCAAGTCCGCCCCTCCCCAGTCCACGATCACCTCTGCCGCATCCTCTGAAACCTGGATTCTCTCTTCCTTGGACCACTGCCAAAAGATTTTGCTGCTGCTTTTTACTAGCTTCCTTTTCCCTGTTATTGTATATTTTCCAAGCCACTTCAAGTAATTGATTCAAATTCCTTGAATCTTCTCCTTCTAACTTCTGCAGTTTTCTCCTAATATCATCCTGCGACTGCCCAAGAAAAATGAACGCCAGCTGAACATTCGCTTGTCCTGTTTCTAGTTGAAGATCTGTATACGTTCTTGCTGCCTCTTTAAGCCTTTCCAAAAATGCAGCAGGGGATTCTTTCTTTTCCTGTCTTATCTCATACAATTTAGACCAATTCATAGCCTTAGGTACAGCATTCCCAACCCCTGTCTGGAGCCACTCTTGATATCTCTTCAGGCTCCGCATGTCCCCAAAGGCATTGGGATCCCACCCTGGATCCTCGGTTGGAAAGTTCTCATCTAAAGTCGCCGTCAGCACCCCAGTTCTGAGATCTTCTCTCACCTTCTCCTCGGCTGCTCTAAGCACCATCTCTTTCTCAGTAGAGTCCATTAAATTCTCCAATATTACTTGTATATCATCCCAATCTGGATTCTGAGTTTTCATGATCATTTTTACCACCCCTGCTACTTTATCAGGATTTTCTCTCTAAGTTCCAGCTGATTGTTTCCAAATTATCAAGTCTGCGGGTGGAAAAGGAATTTTCACAAACACCGGCCCTTCTACTCCTTGTCTCAAGGGGGCAATCACAGTCCGCCTTTGTCTGCCCAAATCTTTTCCCGTTCTACCCAGAACCAGAGCAAGCTGTGACCGAGTCCGATGGGATACCGGTGTCGCTGATTTATTATCATCACCCCTGCTACTGCTATCTTCCTCCCCAGCATTTTTCACATTTCCTTGTATCACGGTTAGATTTGGATCATCTCCCAGAGAAGAAGGATCAGGTGAAGGCAGTAGAGGGGGATAAAGTGGGCAAGGTGAAGTGGGATTAGGCGAGATAGGGTTAGGTGAAATAGGATTGGGTGAAGTGCAGGCAGACAAAACAAAATCGGGTTCTTTTGGTTCTGCTGAAACCACTTGTAAATCAACATCCATCTCTTTCCCCTGACACAAACTTTCTTTTAATGACAGGTGCTCTAAACAACTTTTTCCTTTTACACAAACCTCACATTTATCACTCACATGTGCCTTAAGTTGCATCAATCCACACTCAGCCTGCCATTCTGGCTTGTCTCACAAATAGAAAAACAAATCAATGTATGGAACTTCATCCCACTTTCCCTCTGGCTTACAGAACAACATCAACTGTAAAATGGTGTTCTACTGCAAAGATCCATTTCTCGGCCACTTTTCCCCACTGTCCAGGTCATATCCTGGCCACCGTGTATTACAATAATCAATCAACTTTACGTAAATCTTGCCCAAAGTTTCCCTGTTTGCAATGTGCTAATAAGCACCCCAAAGGAGAAGTAGGCGGTATAGGGGCAGTGCCACCTCAAATCCCTTTAAGCTTCTCCATGTTACAGTTACAATACACCACACACCACTGCTGCCCAACCTGCAGCGCTGTTGCACTTGTCTGACAGACGGCGCCTGGGCAATACCAGGAATTCCTCCAGCCCAACCGTGCGAAGCTTTGGCTGCGTCTTATTGGCAGGCACCAGAGCAGACCGAAAAGCACCTCACCTCTCTCAGAGGGACGTTGTGAGCGGCGGCGACGGTCGCGGCCGGATGGGCTCCCCAAGAATCCCTCGGTGCCGGCTGGAGCGTGATCAGGTCGTGAGCTTGCTCAGCAGCACTCACAGGGTCACCAAAATGTTAGCGTTCAGGAACACACATAATCACAGACTGATTATATGCAGGTGCTTTATTGAAGTGTGTGGGAACTGGGGGTATCAGCAACCCAAATCTACCTCCATCGTCTTTGTCCAAAGTGCACATGTTTATAGAATTTCAGCTGTAGCAGTCATCATTGTAACAACCTTATCAATATTGCTTCATTAATAAATCTTAATTAACTTTATCTGTATTGCTTCTTGAGAGTTAGCTCATCCTTGTACAAACATGTCCGAGTCTTATCTCTGGGTGGGTATCTTGGAGACCCCAAGTACCAGTTCCCATTACGATAAACATTTCAGCTTGCTAGACCATCCCTAATTCCAAGCATTCTTGTGGCCTACCTCTACAAGATTTTAAGAAACATTTTCAGAAACATTTAACCCCTTAGTAACATCTTGATGTTTGGAGGATGTTTGTGCTGAATCTTGGTGTCCTGGAAGTTCTTCCAGACACAAGATGGCCAATGACTTCCTGAGATGAACTTGGGCAAGGAGGAATCCCCACCCCAAGACACTCTTCTCTTGTTTTTTCCCCAAACCAGGATTTTTCATTCCCAAACCAGGGAATCCCAGGCCAGATGGAGGAGGAGGAAAAGCCCCAGAGTTCCCACACAAGGAGGGTCTGCAAACCCAGCCCAGGGAGCTGCGAGGAGGAAAGATCCCCCCTGCGCCAGGAGGGTGGCAATAGATCCAGCCAGAGCTCGGAGCTGGGGGAGAAGCCTCATGGAAGGGAGAAGCCCTACAAGTGCTTGGAATGTGGGAAGGGCTTCAGAAAGAGCTCCCACCTGCTCCGGCACCAGGTCATTCACACTGGGGAAAAGCCCTACGAGTGTGGGGAATGTGGGAAGAGCTTCAACCACGGCTCCAGCCTCATGCGGCACCAAGTGATTCACACTGGGGAAAAGCCCTACAAGTGTGGGGAATGTGGGAAGAGCTTCAGTGACCACTCCAACCTGGTGCATCACCAGAGGAGTCACACAGGGGAACAGCCCTACACCTGCTTGGAATGTGGGAAGAGCTTTGGATGGAGCTCTGACCTGAGGAATCACCAGCTCATCCACACGGGGGAGAAGCCCTACGAGTGTCCCGAGTGTGGGAAGAGGTTTCAGCGCAGCTCCACTCTCATCAGACATGAGCGGATTCACACAGACGAGAGGCCCTTCCGCTGCCCCGACTGTGGGAAGAGCTTCAACCGCAACTCCACCCTTACTGCCCACCGGCGCATCCACACTGGGGAGAGGCCCTACGAGTGTCCCCAGTGTGGGAAGAGCTTCTCACGGAGCTCTAACTTGACCCAACACCAACGGAGGCACCAGTAAGGGAAGCCCTGCGAGTGCCCCGAGTGCGGGAAGAGCTTTGTGCGCTGCTCCAGCTCCATCCCCCATGGGAGGATGGGCGTTGGATGATCCCCAGTGACCCCCGTTGGGCAGAGCCCTGGTGATCCATGGTTGTCGCCCTGAAAACTCAGTTTCTGAGCTTGATAATATAGTTTTCTAAGGACTTTCCCAGGACAGTAACTGTAAACATAGATATGTGTACATTCTTTCTGTTACATGTCTTGTGGTGGGCATTTCTCATGGCCAGTGCAGTGAGAAAGTGTTATCCTGACCATCCAATCCCTGGCCGTGGTCAAAAGCCTATAAATCCTGGGAGGAAAAATAAACTGTCTCTTCTTGTCACCACACTTCAATTTGTGTCTGTGTGATCTATTCATCTTCAGCAGCAACATGTGGTCCTGGTGATCCATGGTCCTGGTGATCCATGTTGGGAAGACACCTGGCTGGGAGGTTCCACATCTTCCTGGCTCCTCACGGCACCTGGGTGAGCACCGGAGTAGGAACATCCATTCGGACACAGACCAACAATGGGAATTCCTTGGGGGGGAGTGGATTTGTTGACTTTCAATCCCAGAAAACTATTTGTTAGAAGTAACGGAATTCACAAGCCCTATTTGTTACACTTCAGCATCTTCCCATCACCTCTCCTTCCATTTCTTGGAATACAACACAAACTTACAGTCAGTAAGTTCTGCAAGTGCTCTTGCTGCGTGAGGCCACATTGTGTCTTTCATTCAGCAATTCATGAAGAGAACACAAATTGTCTACTGAGACCCTTCTGCTCCCTTGCAAATCACTACTCAAGAACAAGCCTCAGGCACATGCCCATAGTCCCTCTCTGCCAGCAGCTCCGAGCTGCATTGCACAGTGCTTGCTGTGCCCCAGAGAGCACCAAGCAGGCTGGCCTGGTGCCCCTGAATATTTCTGCAAAACCCTCTGCATTTCACACCTTTGCTGTGGCTCAGTGCAGAGCTCCAGGATTGCAGGCGCTTGGTCCCAGAGCTGTGTGAGGCACTGGCTCGTGCAGATGTGCCCTGACTTGCTGTCACTGCCTCACGCTGGCCTCAGTTCCCCTGGCAGAAATGCCGTGCCTGAAGGACACTGCCCTGTGCTGGAGCCTGCGGAGCAGCCCAGCTCCCTCCCCCTGTGCCCAGAGTGCTGCACACACTGCTGACCATTGCCAGGAGTTCCAGGGCAGGCGGCAGAAGAGCAGCAATGGTCAGGCAGGGCAGCAGCCCTGGGCTGCTCTTTGCCTTTCTCTCCTCCTGTGCAGACTCCAGACAGCCCATGGCACCAATGTGTGCTGTGCCCAGCACGGCGCCGCTTCCCCTCAGGAGCAGCCAGCTGCCAGCTTGGCTCTGAGAGCGGAGGATTTGCCTGGTGCCAGCAAGAGGCAGCCAGGGCCAGGCTGCTGCCTCTTGCAGCTCCAAGGGCCTCCTTCCAGCCTGCCTGTGCCGAGGCTCAGGCTTCTCCGGGCTCTGCCAGGGCTCTGCTGGGGCTCCAGCCTGGCCAAGGCCGGGCCCGCTCTCACCTCACAGGCGCTGACAGCTCTGCACCACAGGAGACCTTGCACAGCACCCTCACTGCTCTTTCTGCTTTCTCTCTTCAGCCAGACTCTCCTCCAGCCAAAGAGATTTCTCTTAGGGATACAAATCCAAGTGGCAGGAACCCAAATACTCTCGAGTCACATCTGCACAGCCTGCATTTGCACAGGATGTTTGCGTTGCACCGCTCCTCCTTTGGTTTTTCCTGCAAATGCCATTGCTGTTTCTGCCTCAAATAGAAATGCCACAGCATTCTGGCAAAACTTGGCCAGTTGGCCATATTCCAAAGGCAGTGTGGTCTGGGGAGGATGAATGAAGAGGAGCCTTCCCCCCTTACAAACTGTACCAAAGAAGCCATCAATGTCACTTTCCACCTCTAAGAAAAAACTGACAATTCAGGAGGAAATGTTGAGCTTTCTCACAGGGTCAGAAGGAGAGAAATGTTCCAAAGGAGTTGAGATTTGAGAAATTTTATTTAAAATCCTACTCTACAATCCTACACTACAAACCTACACTACCATCCTGCACTACAATCCTACTCTATAATCCTACTCTACAATCCTACTCTGCAATCCTACTCTATAATCCTACTCTAAGTTGGCCATGGAGAAGGCAGTTCTAAAT